TGAGTAGTAAGGTGTTACTCCTTTCCTCTTTATTGGGTAGGCCCTAATCTTATCCTACAAGAGGTTTGTGTTTTTTTTCTTTTTTTTTGTTTTATTGGTCTCCTGAAGTTGCAAAGATAAGAGATTTTGATAGTTTATGTTTAGAGCAGCTTCATACTAGCTAGTTTAAAGGTGCTATATGCATATGGAGCACTGAAGTTTTACTTTTTTAGGCATTTGTTCCGGTGGGCCTATACTTGGCCCTAGATTGGTTGGCTGCTTTGTGGTGAATGCCTGCATGGTTATGCGGTACACCACTGATTGAGGGTTAGGAGCTCCTGTTTCCAACTGAATAAGGGCAATTGTTAAATGGAAGTTATTTGTATTTTATGTAAAATGTAATTTTGTAGTATGATTAATTTTACTTTCTGTCCAAAGACAGGGTCTCAAGTCATCCGGCTGTTTTGCCTGTGTTTTTTCCTGTTTAGTGAACCTTTTTTTTTTTTTCTTCAAGATAAGTTTTAAGGTTCTAAGTGTTGTTTCATCTTGAGGTTGTATATGAACTGTATAACTTTTATGTTTTTTTTTCTTTATTTAATATTTCTTTTCTCTTCTTTTTCTTTCAGATTGGGCTAGGCCAGGTGGTCAGTGGCTTGCAGCAGGTGGCTGTAGCATAGACGGCTCATCACTGTACCTTTTATTTTTTTATTTAATTTATTTTTTTTTTTGACTGACATGATTACACTGAGTTGTATGGAAAAAAAAATATATATATATATAATTTATTTATTTATTTATTGTTTAAAGCAGGACATATTGTGTTGTGGAAATTTTAAGCTTGAAGAAATATTATATCTTATGTCCTTTGGTTTTAATAATCGATTTTGTCTTTTTTTAAAGATATATTGATGTGTTTTTATTTTTAGAGGCACATCCTTGTTTCATATTGAAAAAAAAAATTAAAATATTTAAATAAAGAATCTGTGGTGCAAACTTATCTTAGAGCATTGCCTTGCACTCTTGGTCACAAATAGTTGGAACAGTTTGGGACAGCTGTAAAACAAATAACTTGCTACTTCTTGCAGTGTTAACAAAAACATCTTGCGTAGTGCAGCTTTAAGTAACTGCAAGTTTAGTTTTTGGAATTTCAGACATTGATTATTTTTATATACTGTCAATCAATTAAGCTGTCTCATCTCCTGTTTTTCAGGCCATTTTTTATTTGTGACATTCGAAGATGGATGCAGAGCATACATTTTCAAGTCCTGTGATTTACTGAAAGAGGATGAGTCTACTATTGGCAGTTTCAAAGATCTTAAACCTGGATGAAGAGTTCTTACAAGGTGGTCTGACAGCAAAATCTATAATGCCATCATCGATTACATTGGCCAATCTAAACAAAAATAAAATGAGAAGGGAGCGAAAAAGGACATGAAAAAAAATGATCTAGCTGCTCAGAGATTGTACAGCATTTCATCGGTACCCTCCACAGTCCTACATGCCTTTACAAAGACACAACTTCTAGCTGCGGGGTAGAGTCTCAACTGGTTTTCACCTCCACAAACCCAGTACAAGCCCCTTGTGTACTAGGAAAGCACCAGCCTTCACTGGCACCAACACAGCATCAGTCTCCACTCCCACTTTGGAACACCAGAATGTGGAACACTCAAAGACTTCTCACAGAGTGGATCAAATGAAGATAGACCATGGGAACCAAGTGATGCTTGCAAGCAGGAAGTGCAAGCAATGATGGAGGAGAAGAGGAGGATGAAAGATATGCTGTCTACTATCAGACTAATTTTCACTTAAATATAATTGTAAAATCCTAACGTGATTTGTTTTTGAGGAATGTGGCTTCCATATATTCACTTATTTGCTGAATATGTTAAGGCAAACACAGAGGATTAAATCATGACCACAAGTTTATTACTCATATATTTTTGACAGTTTTTACTCAAGACAGTTATTACTCATATATTGACAATCTGACTACAGTCCGGATTTTTTTTTTTTTTTAAATAAAAGGTTCAAGAATAAAAGGTAAAAATGATTTGACAGTTGTTTGTGTTAGTTAAACCGAATGTGTTTAATTAGGGTTACAAAGGTTTAGTCCTTAACTTCTGCATGATTTTACTAGCTTTTTCATTGCTTTACTGAGTAATTCCTGTTCATTCTAAAAGAGTTTTAAACAAAATTAAATCAAGACAAGAAAAAGATCTCCCCAGATCTTGTATGCATCTGAAACTGAAATCTGTTTTGACTCCTTTAACCTCAGAAGTAGAAACATCTGTGACAAAGTTGATCTCTAAATGGAACGTAAGTGAGAATCACAAACAAGTCTCCTAAGACATCAAAGATAAACATTAGAGTAATACATTTATCCTCTGGGGTGACAAAAAAAGCAAAAACTGGCAAAATGAGTACAAAAATTATTTTAGGATTAGAAAATGTTGGGCATTTTCATTCTACATATTCTGCTTGTGAATTTTATAATTTTACTTGAAACTTTTTGTGAAAAAAATAATTTGCCACATTTACATGCAGTCTAATAATCTGGCAACAATCCAGCTAATAGCTCAATCGGAATAGAATGTGTCCATATACACCTCAATTGGAAAAAAGACTAGTCCAATTGAGGCCATTCAGAATACAATTTCTCTCCAATTGGACGAGGTAGGTAATCCTGTAAATAATCCATTAAATAGAAGAAAAACAACCATGCAAACACCTGAATATGATTACATTCTCAATTGTAAAGTGTAAGTCCGTTTTGCAGGAGATGAAGTTTATGCTTCAAACTTTGAAACACATAGAAAATAGAAATAGCAGGATGGATGGCCATTAAGCTCTTAATAACATGCTGTTCAGACAAGTATATGAAAATGAATGATACTGAAGTTGTGAAGCCTAGAAGGCTATGCATGTTGCTTTGGGTTAGAAGAGTTAAGCATTTTAATTTAATTTACTTAAAGACTCTGTTTCTATATATTTGCTCACCTAAAAACTGGGTGGTCTGCCACCAAAGGTGCAATGCTGCACATTATTTAACACATCTAGATGTAAATATAAAAATAAAGGCTAGATTTCTGAACTGTTTTTGAAGCTCATCTTTTGATCTCAAACCCAAATGTCTTGAGTGCATAGTTGAAACTAAAGAATTGGCCTTGCTGTTCCACTACAGAGGAGACTGTAAGAAGCAGAGATCATTCATGGGTTTAATTGGAGATTTGAGGGGCATGATTTTAGAAGGAAAATACAGGAACAGAAAAGAAAATTAAAAGCAGAAGGACATACATTTTTGAAGAAATAACTGTAGAGAGGCCTGAATTCCAGTAGACAAAACTGAGGAAGCATTCATGCCCACATGGCATAGATGATCAAGTATTGGGTGAAAGAACTGAGTGGAGTTTTTTGAATTTATATTATTTTGCAAAAGTCTGTTATTTTACAATGAGTGCGTCATTTATGGATGTAGTCTATGTTTATTCCATTAGTATGCTTTTAGGGCAAAAAGAGAGGTAAAAAGATGCTACATTGACTTTCTCTGTTATAGATAAATTTCATAGATAAATAACTTCCGGTGTTTGCATAAAGACATTTGCATGGTGCTGAAAAAGAGTCTTTAGAGTTCATAAATAAAACTTTGGGCTCACCAGCAGGTCCTGGCCATTTAAGAGGTTAAGTATGCAGGAATGTGTGGACCCACTGTCGTCTCCCCACTGCAGAGGTCTCAGAATGTTCATTGTCCTGGTCAGCATATTTACACTTCCTACAGTTACATTTCTGAGACTGCAGCCAGAAGTTTGGGGATTTCATAGCCTGAAATACCTGCTCCAAATTTGCTAGCCCCCGCCATCAAAATCTGGCGTGTGGCCCAGCACATTGTTGAGATCTGTAATGCACCAGTCTTTGAGGATGCCAATGAGCACTTACTCTATCAGCCACTGAAACATAGCCAGTGCATTCTGGAGGCCATTATCATGAAATGCCATAGCTTTGTGGCCAGCATGAACATTGTCTTTTCTCTGGCATCCAAAGCGAGTGACGCTGGTAGTGTATGCAAAACCACCTTTGCAAGGACCAGTGGGACCACTGGCACTGTCTTCTTAATGGGTTTATAACCCCACTGCTGTCATTTCCTTAAATTTTTGTTCAGTGGCCTGTCTGGGAGGGTTGCACCTCCACAGCAGTGCAGCCAGTGGCAGAAGACCACAATATTTTAAAATATTATACTCTGACTGAAATATTAACTCTCACTTATTGTCAGTCTTCTTGAAGACACTGAAGATAGTCATGGTCTGATTGTCAGTGCTGGATATGGCTTTAAAATTGAGATATCAAAAAAAGTCTTTTTGATCTGAGGTATTGATACATATCAAATTATACCTGATTATGAGTTATTGCCATTGGTCTGTGAAAAGGTTATGAATATTCTGTCTTTTGTAACTAAAATCTACACCATGCAACACTGTTGTCATCACAAAAGTGAGTAATAGCTACATACTATGTTGATGGGGTTAATCAGTGTTAGCTTGCACCCTGCTAACTTTCTGGCATTAACAGCATTCATTGTCTTGCTGAAGAATAATAGATCTGTTGTTAGACTGCATAAGTCAGTCATACAATTGTTAACTGTAAATAATTCTCAATATTTTAAAATGATCAAAACCTCAGAATCCGTCCTTCACCAGAAACTTTCTCTTTTTTTGAGGTTTTTCTTTTTGTGAATGCCATGGGTCAGTTTGGATTTTGGCTTTAGATTTTGTTTTGCTTTAATAAGCCTACACTGGAATCCTGCATCCCTCCTAAGTGTTAACTTTTACAGTGCACCCAATACATGTCTCTTACACCATCACAGGCTTTCCCACAGATTGATCCACCACCAGCATGTCATATGACCAGACTCCTATTTGGCACGTTCAGTTCCCCATGGTGACCACATCTACGAAGCAACTTTCGCATCCCATCTGAGTAATATTTAAACCCAGTTTCTGGACAGCAACATTATTCAGCAACATATCCTTTTGTTAATGCAGTCTTCATCTGGCAGATACAAGAATGGTGAGACTGTTATTTTGATGTCTCAGTGTTGTAAGGATAATTTGTGCCAAATGCACTTTTTAGTCATTTCAAATGGCTTTAAATTACAATGTTTGAAGATGGAGGACTTTAGATTTTAATGATGATTTTTTGTGCCATTGTTAATGTTTCATTTATTTAAATGTATTTGTATGCATAATTTAACATTTGGAAATAGGAGATGCTTTGTATCTCAGAAACAGAAGAGTAGTAGTCCAGGACTAAATTCTAATTTTAGATTCTCAGTTGAAAATCCTTTGAATCTTAAACTTTGCCTAATGTTTGATGTTTTAAATTCTCTATAAGGACCTGAAGATCTTGGTCAGTGCTGTTATATTCCTTTTGGCTCTCAGTCAAGGTAAGTTTCTCAAGTCCGCTCTATCAATGACATCTCTCCTCTTTTTTTTTATCATATTCTTTTAAACAGTCTTTACAGATTCAGTGATAGATTACTTTTACAGTGGATTACATTAGGATTCACTGTGATAGATTGTATTCTGAAGTTTAAGCTGCTCAAAGATTAACTGTGTAACACTTTGAAATTACATTAGTGCTGTTTTGTGTCAGTTGTATACATTACCAAGACACTTCTAATATTATAGTCAGTTGCATATGTTGCCAAAATAAGAGCACTAAGTATTAGGCATACACTGTATATGCACTGCACAAAGACAGTGACAGTTGTGACATCCAACCCATTAAATATAGACTAAGCATACATGTCTATATATAGGTATGATCAATATAAAGTTTTCTATCATTTATTTATTTGAAATAAGAAGGTAGTTACCCTGTTTTAATATATTAAAGAAGTAATATATTATTTATTCATTTTATATAAAAAGCGCTAACCTTTGTATGTAAGAAATATTTTTTAAAACATTTTATTCTTTAAATTCTCATTGATTTCAAGTTAATATCTAATTTTTTTCTGATACAGGTCAGAGCCTGCAGTGTTTCCAATGTGCATCGTTTAATCCTCAATATAAATGCACAAGCCCTCAAAATATTACTTGTTCAGTGTCAAACTCTGCATGTGGACTGTTCTACAATTTAGGAAAATGTAAGACCAATAATTCTCTGTCTCTCTCTCTCTCTCTCTCTCTCTCTCTCTCTCTCTCTCTCTCTCTGATGTACCTTCTCTTATTAAATATGAATGGCTGTTAAAAATGATGTTAAAAAATGTTAAAAGCTCAAAATATAACTGAGGCAAAATGGGGGAAGAAGCCCCCCTTTAAAATAAGGTCCTTGTATTGTCATGCTAAACTATCTGTGCATGAGTTTAGCATGTACAGCATGATTATACATGAAACTGGAACAGCACAAAATTAAAATGTTGTCCTGCTATTGGCTTTATGGGAAATCTTACATTAATTTGTCATCTGACTTGAGTATGATTTACAGTCATATGCAAAAGTTTAAACACGCTACTCAAATTTCAAAGAAGTGTTTTCTCTTAGAAAATCAACAAAAGTCATGCCAGGGGACTTCAAGCATCTGCATACAAGTGTATATCTGCAGTCATTTCTTATTCTTGTATACTTAAAAACTTTTTTTTTTTTCTGATGTACATGGACTAGAATCGATTTTGAAATTTTCTTTTTGAACTTCAAATTGAACTAATTAATTTGTGCCTTGTTGGTTCCCATACTTTACAACAAAGTTGTTAAAAATATGTAATTTTTCCTCATTATTATTAGTTAAATACTTATCATCTTAAATAAATAAGCATCTTACCATACAAGATTTTTTCTCTCATGTTACCTTACATTTTTGACATTGTGAACACATTTAGCAATACTACAGTCTTGCTGAGCTTAGTTTAAAACAGCGACGCAATCCACATATCACAGCTCAGCAGGACTTACCCTGTATGTCCAGAGTGACTTTGCGGAAGTTCAGCGATGATTCTGTCAGTAATCTAGGTCAGAAAACCACCGTTCAGAGCCTGCATTTATGTTCATTTAAATGCCTATTTAATCTCTGAAACTGTACATGTGAGATCTATAACTTCTCATGTCTCAAACAGAGTTTAGTGTTGATAATCAGAACCTTACAGCTAAAAACACATAGTAATGACATAAAATGCAGTCAAACTAAACACTAAACATGCGCTCTGTGCATACTGTCAGCACTAAGAGAGTCAGGGAGGGGTGGAAAAATGCTGTTTCATGCTAATTGTTTATTTTCACTGAATAATGACCAACAGAATGAATCACCATCAAAATTCTTGCACTTTCAGCTCACAGACACTCCAACCTAACAATTTCTGAAAAGGTCTATGAGGTGCAACTTGTTTTCAAGATCTGTATAAGCAAAAATTAAGTATTGCAGGTGCTAGGTGAATTTTTTACTCAAAAATTAGCCATATTGATAAAGATGTAAAAATTCTGTTAGCATTTACATGTCAAACAATGGCATATCTGATCAGCCCTGGGTCCCCTGAAAATGACAATATATGTCATGTGTGACTGTCTCATGTAAATATTTTATAATTGCAATTGAAAATTGTAACGGACTCAAATACCAAACAATCACCCCAAATTACCCTAGGGTTTCAAGGGTTAAACCTTTATCTAATGCAGCTGATCCAGCCAATAAAAGTCTAAAAGTGATTTAAGCCCGCTGATATTTCTGGGCCTAAACAAATATTTGAAGGTTGGAAGTGTCCCTGAGTGGACATGTATGGTTATTGTGTTCATTTTCATTTGCCTTTTGTGGTTCAAATAACATGACATTATTTTGTTTGTTTTTCACAGTGATTATGTACCAGGACTGCCTGACTAGGGAGCAATGTTTTGTTCTGTACCAAGCTGCGGGTGGCCAAAAATGTTGTGGCAGTAATTTGTGTAATCATTAGCTGTAATTAGAATCTACTGAATGTGTTCAAGAAATGTGATTTTGGAATTTAATCATTTGAGATATATGTTTATTGAGTGATCATTATGCTTTATAATCAGATTCAATGAGGTTAAAAATACTGTTAAATAATCTTTGCTTGGAATCTTGAATTAATCTTTAAGTAAATGAATGTTAGATAATGAAAGCTGTTAAGTAACAACTTCAGTTGTTTCTACTGATCAGTTAAATATAAGATTTAGTGATAAATTCTCATTGACAAATAAAAGTAACAAAAAATTGTGCAAGAAAACTACAAGTAACTCTTTATTATACTATTTCAGAGTAAATACATAACTATGCAGGGACTAAACAAGGGTGAATGAATTGTCCTGCATTAAAACTCAAGTCACTACTATTAACTATGAAGGAGTACTGGTTAATTACTCAGTAGTGAACAAATGATTAGGGTACTTTACTAATCTCCTAGAGAACTACTTACTAATTATGATTTCATATAAAAACTACTCATTATATATATATATATATATATATATATATATATATATATATATATATCATTACCATTCTTCCTAAGGTATGTAGTATTGGAATACACTACACAGTTCAGTGCCAAAAAATATAAATAGCCATATCATTTATTATTATTTACAGAAACAGTTATTCTCAGAGATGACAGGAGCCATCACACCACACTGTACCAACTGATGTGGTACACCCTCATGTGTTTGTTTTGATCAGTCACTTCAAAGAGTTAACACTCAGTGCAGTAGTCTGTTACTTCCCATTGTTAGAATACAAAACATCATTCTTTTCTGCATGAGGTTGTGCGTTAGTGTTCATCATGCAAATGATGCAGTACAGTTGTCTGCTGGTTCCTACATTATCAGTTACTTTTTGTCATATTGATCAAAATGTATGCTACTTGTTCTCTGATGAATAGTCCTAACCCCCAAAACCTCTAGGCATTAGTTCATTGTATAAGTCATTACATTCAAAAGTGCTGGCCAGTTGACATAACCTGTGAAGCATATTTTATAGCTTTCTATTAGCCTTTTGATAATTGTCTCCTAAACTGATGATTAGCTCTCAGGTGAATCCTGACTTTCACTGATGAAGTGGAGAGTGTGAAGCTTTACATCAACCAATGATCAACCAATTCTCTTAAAGAGCTCAGAGGTACATCTTATTAACCTTCAGTTGACAAGCATATACAGACAGAGCACACCACAGTGTTACTTTTCTGACAATGGAAGAACAACAAGGAAATAACCAGGATAAACAGCCAGAAAGAAGAAGAGAAGTAAGGATGCATGATGGAAGGCTGAGAAGGCAAAATGGAGGAAGAGGTAGAAAAGGCTGCGGGTACATTCCTGATGAAATGGTGGACCATGTTATCAATCATCACCAAGGCTGATAAAAGGGTACAGCTGAATGTTGGGAGAACAACTGTGTCCTCAATCAATCAAATGTTTTATAGACAGAACAGGTCAGGTGTATAATCCAACTGTGTACTCTGTAATGTAATACTGTACACTACACTATAGAGTACTGTATGTACTGTAACATGCAAACACACACACACACTCACACACTTGAGTGCTGTAAAGGAGTTTTGTCTTACTTTTCTGTGTCACAATGACATGGTCTGTCAGCAAGTTACAGTACAAACAACAAAAGCATGAATATGAAACCTGTCCAACCTCCCGCATACAGTAATGCGTAACTTTGTACTGTTGAAAATGATATATGCAACACAGAAAAAGTGCAGCCTTATGCATTTTCAATCATTGTCATCAAAACCTTAGCCATCAGAAAATACTGACAGAGTATACTGATATATGACAACATGGCTAAGCATTTTGACTTGTTCATAATCAATGTCACAAGGATTTTTCATTGTAATGACACTGACATTCATTGACATAAGTACTTACTCTTGGGACACAAACAAAGGATTTTGAGCAAATTATGGGCTTTTGTTGGGAATCCATTGTATGATGCTGTTTGTACAAATTGTTTTGAGAAATACATTTATGTTGTTCAAATGTTCATGATGATTCAACAAATGCACCAAAGCCACTGAGAAAAACTTTAATTACAAACAGTGGTCAAATGGTGAAAACCTGGTAATGTGCTAACAGTGGGCAAACTGAACATAAAGAGCAAAGCAAGGCTGAGGTTGTGATGAACACTTAACTGAGTAAAACCACCGAGCTCAGCCACTGGAAACAGGTGCTTCGCCACAAGCTAGTGAGTTTGGGCACTGGTGAGTCCGAAGCCTGTGTTAGCCTTCACGCTCCTAGCGTTGATAGTATCGTGTGATTGGGGGAGTCCTAACTAGCGGGTGGAATTGGAGACGACTAAATTGGGGAGAAAATCGGGTAAAAATTGAAAAAAAATCATAAAAAAAAAGATGACGTACTCAAACAAAGGTAACATTTAGCCAATAGGACAACTAAAATAAAAATGCTCTTTTCTTTACTCTCTTGAGCTGGTTTAGATCTATTTTACTTTCTGTTACAGTTTTCTTTTCTACTTTTACTTTGTTTTACAGTGCTCTTTACTTTCTTCATTTGGAGCTGTTTACCTTTTTCTCTTTGTTTACAGCTCTCTTTACTTTCTCTCTTCATTTGGAGCTGTTTTTCTTTTTCTCTTTGTTTACAGCTCTCTTTACTTTCTCTCTTCATTTGGAGCTGTTTACCTTTTTCTCTTTGTTTACAGCTCTCTTTCTTCATTTGGAGCTGTTTACCTTTTTCTCTTTGTTTTACAGCTCTCTTTACTTTCTTTGTTTGAAGCTGTTTACCTTTTTCTCTTTGTTTTACAGCTCTCTTTACTTCCTCTCTTTGTTTGGAGCTGTTTCTCTTTTTCTATTTCTTTTACAGCTCTCTTTTTTCTCTCTTTGTCTGGAGTTCTTTGCCTTTTTCTCTTTTTTATAGCTCTCTTTTCTATTTGACTTGATTTAACTTTTTTCTTTTCTTTTACAGCTTTCTTTTCTTTTTTCTTTTTTGCCATGTACCATTTTACCGGCTGCCCCTCTATTAAGGTACACTGCTTCTGGTGACATGTGGTGTGATTAAAGCCTGAGGTCATCATTGTTTTCCACAGCTGTGTTATTCTAAGGACAATTTAGCCTAAGTAGTAACAAGCTGGGGTCATCATAGAAATCTCCTTAAACTACAAACTAAAGCTACAAATGATTTACCAAGCTTAATCAGTGCTTAAAAAATCACACCAGGGCTAAAGCTAGAACCTAAGCTAGATGACTAAGCGACAGTTTATGACCCTCATTTGGCTAAAATGTCCCAACTGTAGCCAGCTGGATAATGAATGTCAAATAAGTATCTGCCAGTTACCGTAAGCATTTGGAACACATTTTATTTAACATGAATGAAACAGAAAGATTGGACTAAAGTGGAAAGGAAAGTGAAAAAATGACTGAATAGGATAGCCGCTTCCATGAATCATAAGGAGCTGGAAGGTAACCCTAGATAACTGCTCATTTTAGTTAGCTAGCTAAACTATGTTGGCTGCCTAACTGTGGCATACACTGAAGCTTTTATGCTAAGGTAAAGCACTATTAAATACAAACATGCTAGAATCCATGTCTGATAAAAATCAGCAAAAACTGTCATAATGGGGTACAAGTATACCGTATATACAGTGATACACAGTAGTATTAGATTACATGTGCCTGTTTTTGTTCGCATTACAATGGTTCATACTCTCATTGTGCACTTGCATTTGATGACATTTGGACTAAAAAAGCCTTTGATAGGGTTGAATGGGGTTACCTGCTCCTCATTTTAAGTAAATTTGGTTTTGCCCCATTTATACCAATAATATGCAGTCACCACCTCTTCCTCTCTATTGTGAGACACGCCAAATAAGCCCTCTTTCCCCCTGTACTTCAGTTTGGCAATAGAGCTCTTAACTATCTGATTTTGCAGCCAGGAAAGATTTGGAGCATTATACACTTTAATGCCATCCATAAACTCTTCCTTTGCGCAGATGACCTTCTTCTATACATTTCTAACCCCATTTCTTCCCTTCCACCAATTTTGGAAATTTTGGATCGGTTTAGCCAACTCTCTGGCTATAAACTGAATTTGCAATAAAGCAAACAATTTTTTGTTAACTCTTCAGCTAAGGCCCTTCCGCAGTCGATATTCCCCATTAAAACAGCATCAGAGTGACAGCAACTGTCCTTCTGAATCTCATATTGATCAATTTCCCTTGATCATTTCCAGAAGCATCTCCTATTTGAAATGTATAACTTAATTAATTCTTTACAGGTAGCACCTACTGAAACTCTTAAAAAGGTCCTGGGAAGAGGACCTGTGAATTACTATTTTGGACGACCACCTGATACACTCCCCGTATGCACCAGACATGGTTTACTGCAGTGTAAGGTGCTATACAGAGCTCATTTTACCAATGCCAGGCTGGTAAAAATATTTCTGAATCGAAGTGATGCCTGTGAGAGATGTAAACAATCTCTGGTCAATCATGCGCACATGTTTTGGACATGCCCCTGACTATATTTGACACACTTAAGCCCTCAACTGCAGACTAGACTCTTAACAGTCCTATTCAGCATCACCCCTGATTTGTGCCTACCTGATGCTTCACAATGTGTTATTGCCTTCACTACTTTACTGGCCTGACATGCCATTCTTCTCAAAGGGAATCAGGCCTCCCCTCCAGTTCTGTCATGTATCAAGCTTGAAAAGTTATGATTCTCCCTGAAAGGGCTCCTTGGAATCCTTCCACAGGACCTGGAATCCTTTTTTGGATTTTACTAATAACCTCACTATTTCACCTGAAGAAGACAATGATGCCTAAGTGTCTGAATTGAGAGGAGTTGAGATTTCTTTTTTCCCAACTTTGTTTATTCATTTGTATGTATTCCAGTTTATCGTTTACACATTGATTTTGACCAACAGATGTTTGACCACTCTGGTTCTGATAGATATCTTATTTATTACTGTTAGATCCTCAGGAGCAGATTGAGTGGGAAGGATGGGTTTGAGGGTGGTGGGTGGGTTATGGCTGAAGGGTTAGGGGGTAGATGTAGGAAAATGCTTTTTTGAAACATACTTGTATAATGCAGTAAGTTTGTGGCTTTACA